ATAAGGATGGACTAACATTCAGGTTTGCTCGGATTCTCAACTTGCTATTGACAGAGTGAAGCAAGAAGACTCAATTAGAGATGCTAACATGTTACTTGCCAAACAATACAGGGACCTGCTTGAGGTGCTACCTAGTGTCCAGATCAGCCATGAACCTAGAAGATGTAACAAGGCAGCTGACCTTTTGGCTAAGAACTGTAGAGTTAGTGCGACTAATGATTGTAACCTGCTGTCTTTAAACTCTTGTCCTAACTTTCTAGCTGATGTTTTATTGGAGGAAAGACCTCCCTAACTACTCTGTAAACCTTTAAACCTTTTTATTTTTAATCTAATCCCCAGCTTGCATAAAAAAAAAAAAATTCTAAGACCGAGCAATAAATTGGTTCCCAAATGCCCATTCCTTCCATTTTGGTAAAGCTTCAACCAATACCAGCCACTAAAGTATGGAAGATAACAACAAGGAATGCTGATAACAATGTGACATATTTTGATTCATGACCCCACAGAAAAAGACAATATGCTAGTAAGGGTTGTTTTCCTTGAAGTTTTGAGAAAGAGGTGAAAACACTGATGAATCTCTAAGCTTAATTGTAACTCTTATGTGAAGACAGTATGTAAAAAAAAAAAAAAAAAAAAAAAAAAAAAAAAAAAAAAAAAAAAAACAATATTTCTGGATTCGCAATTGGCAATAGAAACCAAATTAAAATAAAAAATTGAACAAAAAAACTCAATGATAACCCTAAAATTCGCAATTCCTAATTCTAGTTACTTACTACGTATTATTTTCAAGAATAACCCCTTATAACCCATAAACATAATCGAGAAATAATATTTCCTAATTCTAGTTACTTAATTCATATTATTTTCAAGAAATAATTCTCGCTTATGTGATATTATTAGATTAAAACCAATTTGCAATTCAATCAATAATCAGATTAATATCAATTCCCAATAGAAACCCAATTAAAATCAAAAATTGGACAAAAAACTCAAAGATAACCCTAAAATTCGCAATTGACATAATGCAGTAAGAGAAAGATTGAATGGAAGGTAGGAAAGGGAAGAACGCGTACTTACCTGGGTGAAGTAGTGGTGGCGCAACGGCAGCAGAGGAAGACGACGGTGATGCTTGATTTGTAGTTCTGAACCTTCTTTTTTTTTTTTTTTTTAGGAAGAGTATGATAGTTCTTGTTTTTGACGGTGAATAAGAGTATAAGACTGATTGATAATTCTTGTTTTTTTGGCGGCAATAAACTTTTTTTTTTTAGAAATAAGGGTTTTTTTTTTATTATACTAAGGGTTTTTTTTTTTATTTCTTTTTAATAAATATTAAAAATAATAGTTGCAAATTATTACAAGAGCGTCGCAGATTAGCGACTGCATAGCAACTATTATAAATTCGGTTGCAAATTTTGTGACTACTCGTCTTTTTCCGTCGCAAAAATATTTTTTGCAACTGATTATTATAGTAGTTGCAAAAATCAGTCGCTAATTAACTACCGCATAGCAACTACTGCAAATTCGGTTGCAAAATTTGCGACTACTCGTCTTTTTCAGTCGCTAAAATTATTTTTGCAACTAATTATTATGGTAGTCGCAAAATTCCGTTGCTAATTCACCTTTTTCTTGTAGTGAATCATGTTCCTTTTATTTCTATTATTTTTCTAACGATTTTATATTGTTGGATTTATTGCTATATTGCTTCCAATATTAATGTTTATTCTATTATATTTATTGATCACCATATTGCATGTTTAAAGGGAATATGTAATTAAAAATCACGCTTAATAAGATAATTTGGACAACCGGTTTAGGTTCCTTTTTAATCTTGTTATTAAATCAAAGTGGTCACAATATTTTAAAATTATGTGTTGCATTAATATTCAACCAATTTAGCTTAATAATAGTTTGGAGCAAATTAAATCTTTGTTTGCATGCCTTTGAGATCACAGGAATAATTTTCACAATAAGAATCGAGTAGAGGCCAATACGGGCGAATGTGACTCCATGACTCACTTCGTAACATCATCCCCGATCCTCCTTTCGTGGTTCCGAACCATATGGAGTTAGTAATCTCATGGATTATGAATGGGGTGTAACCTTCACGGGTCAATCGTTGTTGCCTATCGTTGTCCCTTTTTGTGGTTGCCTTATAATGATCCGTGAACGGTTTACAAGTTCCTTAAAAACTTGTTGGCGGCTCCCTACTTTCCTTGTCCCTAATCGTGTCCCTAATCGTTATGTCAATTCCCACTTCCTGTGAGTGCCAAGCATATTCACAACATGCTTTAACGTAGGCGCACTTCGAACGACGCCTACACCAATTGTTAGAGCTATCACAGCGGAAATGTGGCTTCTACTAGATAATATGAAACCGATATCTCACAAAGATAAATAATATTTTGGGATAGACAGATAACCACTATATAGGAAATAATAATTGTAAGAAAATAAACTTTTCTTAAACTAAACTTTTGATGTGAATTACAATAAATTAAACTAAACTTTTGATTGTTACCCGAATGTATATAACAATCTCTTTATTTCTCCCGACAAATAAGTGATAAATGATAAATTGTTAGTTAAACAGTGTTACACTTTCAACGACTTATACTACCAAATAAGCAAGTGATTGACAAGCACAAGTAGGGGTGTAAATGAGCCAAGCCGAGCCGAGTACTACCTTGTTCATGTTCAAGTTCAATTAACTTAGGCGAGTTCGAGCATGATCCCGAGCTTTCAAGCGAGCTCAAAAATATGTTCAAGCTCGGCTCATTTAGTATACTATATGTTCGCAAACAGCTCGTGAACGACTCATTTATTAAACGAGTTTATTATAACCGAGCGTTTCATGCATGAGTTTAGTAATAAACGAGCTTCTCTAATAAACGAGCTTTGTACTTTGACATTTGAAAATTTTAAAAAGTAGCATAATAATTAAATCCTAATTATAAACCTAACAATTAAATCTTAATTATTGAAAAACTTAAGAATTAAATAAACAATTGTGAATAAATCAATTCATGAATATAAATAAACGAGTAGTTCACAAACATAAATTAACGAGTTGTTCATCATGAACTTATCTGAACGAGCATATCTATGTTCGTGTTCAAGCTCATTTATTAAACGAGCTTCAAAGTTTGTTCAAGCTCGGCTCATTTATCAAATAAACGAACATGAACGAGAGCTTTCACTCGAGCTTGAACCCGAGTAGTTTATTGATTGGCTTGGTTCATTTACACCCCTAAGCACAAGGTAGATCGAGCAAACTACAACAAGCCAACTCATCAATCAATTATGACAAATTAGTAGAATCACTAATATGAAGCTACACAAGGATCTAGAATTAGGCAATTACAATAATATCAAAGGTTATAAATAACGGGGAAATGTTAGGGGTACAAGGGATCCAACACAACCAAACAACAAGCCAATTTAAAACACGGAGGGAGTATGGACTTCTACCACAAAAAAAAAATTCACAAAATTGTTTTTTACTACCAAATATTTTAAAAGTTTTATTTTAAATTACCACAAAAAAAATAAAAAATTATTTTTTACCACCTGCCACCAAAAACCTAACAGAATTTTTTAAATTATTTGATTTTCGTGCCAAAGATATGGTCTTTAGGGGTTTTGGGGGCATGTAGGTCACTTGGTCCTTTGGTTCCAATTTGAGGTCAGAATTGACAAAAAATGATCAGAAGTGCTTCCTTTTGTGTGTTTAAAAATACCTCGATTTGCGTAGAACGCGCAAAACGAGGTATTTTCGATCATTTTTTGTCAATTATGACCTCAAATTGGATCCGTAGGTCCAAAATGCCCCCTAAACTTATGAGCAACATGTTTTGCGCACGAAAATCGAAGAACTTTTTTAAACCGTTAAATTTAACGGTTTTATTGACGGTAGGTGGTAAAAAAACAATTTTTAGAAATTATTTGGTGGTAAAATAAAACTTTTAAAATTTTTAGTAGTAAAAAACAATCTTGTGATTTATTTTGGTAGTAAAAGTCAAAAATTCCTTTATTTTTATTTTATTTTTCCTTTTTATTATCTGATATAAAAATTCAATATTTGAAATAAAAAATTTAATATCCAAAGATCAATATCTAAACATCTAAAATTCAATATCTAATCTAATAACATTTTTAATATTTGACATCATTTCCTATTTAATGAAACACACACCTATCTATCTATCTATACTTTTATTTTATTTTTTATTTTTTTAAATATGATCTATACTCAGCATGTAAGAACACATACAAACCACAATCAATCATACGTTACCACAAATCACTTACATAGTTATATGTCATACGTCACCTCTTTTAATATTTACTTTTTGTATTCCCATTTTAAAATAATTATTTTAAACAAAAAATTTAATGTTCAAGTTTTTAGGCATGCCATAACTTGCAAATTTGAGTAAGAAAATAAAGTGTTCCATTTCCATTATAATATAATAAAATAATAGTACGTCTTTTCATCTCCTAAACTTAATAAAGTAATGGTAAAAAAAATGAAAAAAGTTTAACTAAATAGTGCACATTACATAAACATATGAAGTACAATAATTGGAGTTAGCATCTTTATTTTAGGGCTTTTTTCTTTCCTGAGTAATCATGATTTTTTTTTAAAAGTTTACTTTATTTTTACAACTATTTTTTTAAGTGAATTTATTTTGGTGACCCAATCTGAATTGACCCAACTCGAATTGGCCCGATTTGAAATTAGTGTTAAAAATTGACCAGACCTGTACTAACTCGACCCAAACTTACCCAAAGTGATGACCCAAATTCGACTCAAAACCCATTGAACTTCACACTACTCGAATTGACCCGACCCGAATCCAACCTAAATGACCCGTTTGCCAGGTCTTACTAAATCATGGGAAATTATGACATTACCTAAGCATGACTCAAAAACAGTTGGTTAAACGGTTGCTTGAATCAGTGATCGCTTGAAGCAGTGATCTTTCCTTTCCGTAAAATAACTACAGAGTACTCTGTAATTCTGTACATTTCCATTTATGGCGCCACCTTACACTTCTGTCTTCTTCCAAATTCTTTTTCCTTTTTTAGCAACTTGCAATTGGCATCTCCCCTCTCTTACCTGCCACCCCACCCATATCTTATCCAATCACATCATCTTTCTCCTCAATCAATGCATATAATATTTAATAATAATATAATAATGATGTTTCATTTTTATATTTTTTTTGTAAATCTGATGAATATTTATTTTATTTTAATAGCAAATGTCCATTGTTTCTTGATATTCACAACCCCTTTTCTTCCTTCCAATTTCATACTCTATTATTCATTTTTGGGTTGTTTTGAGTTACCCAAATAATCCAGATTCATCCCCTCAATCTTTGGAGAATTTTTGCCCCTTTTTTGGATTGAAAAACCATCTATTTTTCTGGGTTTTTCTCCAAATTTTAGCAGATTTATGGAGGGCTTTTCTAATGAACGCTTCGATTTTGGGAGGATGGGTTATGGGTATTCTTCATTCCTCTTTTAAGGCTTTGTCTTATATATGTTTTTGTTGTTTTAATTTGCTTTGTTTTCCCATTTTTTTTCCAGATGTCAGCATTACAGAAGAAGGTGTTTGATTCGAGCTCCGTGTTGCAACGAGATCTTTCCTTGTCGCCATTGCCACAACGACGCCACTGTAATATACTTTTGTTCCCTGTTCTAATAATCATTTTCTTCACGTTTTATTGTTTACTGTATGTTGTTTTTTAGAGAATTATTGGGTATTGTATTGATTTACATAATGACATATAATTGCAATGTGACATATTTCTCGTTTTAGTGAGGTTCATATTATTTTGTAGATCAACTGTTTAGTCATATATTGCAAACTGTTTGAATTATAATATTATCATTAGCAAACAGTTTAAAATCTTGCAAACATTGCAATTATATATTTATATGTCACAAAAGCTCACAGGTTTTGATTGGCAATTGGGTAAGGGTCAGTTCTAGTTACTAACTAATAAGCTATGTTACTTGGACTCGAATAGCCATATTCGTCGCGGATACGTGTCCAAGTATCTGACCCGGCTATTTTGTGAAAATTTTACATGATTTTGAACTAAAATGAAGTGTCTTAAAAGTCCCACCAATGTCAGAGTGTCAGAGGGTCTGACATGGGTACGTGAGGTGAAATGATAGCTAATAAGTCTTGCAAACATTGCAATTATATGTCACAAAAGCTCACAGGTTTTGATTGGCTATTGGGTATGGGTCAGTTCTAGTTACTAACTAATAAGCTATGTTACTTGGACTCGGTACCCATGCTCGTCACGGATACGTGTCCAAGTATCTGACCCGGCTATTTTGTGAAACATTTCCATGATTTTAAACTAAAATGAAGGTCTAAGTGTCCAACCTATGTCTGAGTGTCAGAGGATCTAACATGGGTACGTGAAGTGAAATGAAGAGTCCGAGTAACATAGCTAATGAGTCTAGTATATTCGAACTTAATTTTTGGGTTTAACTTTGGTGAATGTTTCTCATTCTTTTCGTCTGATGATTCAAAGGGCAATAGAGTATGAAGTTTGAAATAATTTTGAATTTTCATTATGTTGCTAATTTTTACTTGTCTGTGGAAATGCCTCTTAGAACATGTTACGCAACCCAATGGACCGGCATGAACTTGATCGACATGATGTTAAGCAAGTATGTTGATCCCGAGAGCTTATTTTTTTCTTTGATTGTGTATTTTAGTACCCGTTCTGCATTATTGATTTGCTTTCATGCTCTCATTACACAGGTTGTTTGTGCTGTATGCGACACAGAACAACCAGTAAGTAGTACTGATAGTTCAGTTTGGCTACTTCAATCATGTTCTGTAACTGCATTTGGTTGCATAAATGTGGTGACTGATGTTTGGTTATCTGTAAATTCAGGCGGCTCATGTTTGCACGAATTGCGGTGTTAATATGGGGGAGTACTTTTGTGAGGTTTGCAAGTTCTATGACGATGATGTAAAATTTCTGGAGCCTTTAGTATAAAATAATGGTTCATTCTTTCTTTTTAATGATTGGTGTATATTGTGGTTCATAACTTCGTGACTGTTTTGATTGATCTACATATAAAGCCGAAATTCTAAACTGTTGGAAGATTTTCTACTTAATGACTAAGAATATCGACTAGAAAATCTGTGAAAATTTTGCTCTTTAACTCTGGAAATTTGCATTCTCTGCATCAGCTGAGACTCTCATTTGATGATAGTTTTTTTATACTTACAGGTTGATAAAATGCAATTTCACTGTGATGATTGCGGGATTTGCAGGTACATTGGCAACTGTATATGAATGTCAATATTTGTAATTTTATCACTAGTTATTTATCTACAATTGGTTGTTTGAGATCAAAGATTTAAAGCTAGTTAATATATTGATTTAAGAGATTTTGAGGTGCATAGTGAGCATTTGAGCAATGCTAATAGGCAAGTTAAAGTTTTCAGATAGATACATTTTCGGATACCTATGTTGGTTCTGTGTATCAGATTTTGTCTAGAAGAAAAGCTTTTGCACTGCAGCTAAATGTAATTGAAAATTTTTGAACCAGGGTTGGTGGCCGTGAAAACTTCTTCCACTGCAAGAAATGTGGTATTCTTTATTCCTACTCTATCATCTAAGTTCTTTGTTTCATCATTGGACTTTTAGTAGTTTTTATAGCTAGGAATTTTATTGCCTCTTTTGCTGCTTGTATAAACATTTTTCTGAAAAGCATCGTTTATTACTGAACATCATTCCAGGATCTTGCTATTCTGTGGCGTTACGTGATAATCATTTGTGTATAGAGAACTCCATGCGCCATCACTGCCCCATATGCTATGAGGTTTGTTGATCATCCTTTTTCATTGTTCTGTTTATGATTTGTTTGCCTATAGAGAACAGTAATTGATCTTACTTTGTTTTCTTGTCTACATTAGTATCTTTTTGACTCGCTTAAAAATACTACTGTCTTGACTTGTGGGCATACTATGCATTCTGATTGCTGCGAAGAGATGTTGAAGCGCGATAAGTAAGCATGCTTGCATCCTCAGAAAAAGCTGATTTGTGGGGTGTTTTTGTCCTAGGAAGGGTCTTACATTTCTTTAATGTTGCAGGTATTGCTGCCCTATATGCTCAAAATCAGTTATTGACATGTCTAGAACCTGGAAGAGATTAGATGAGGAGGTAAGCATGCTAACTCCTTGATTATGCAGTAAATTAGATCAATGACATTGACACCATGAAATTTATGTTCTGGCCTCCCTACAGATGTTACTTACATTTTTCGGATTAGAATCTGTCTTAGGTAGCTTAAAAAATCCTCTAGAAAGGCTAGAGGGATCCAGTAGAAGGAACTATATGGAAAAACCATATTATGCCCTCCATCTTCTGTTTTTCTCACGTTTCTTCTATGGCTGTTTTGATAACACTACTACAAAGTATCTTTTGACTAAAATTAACTCTATTCTCACCATATATTGCATCGACTTTTACTTTCACTCTTTTCACATACACGTTCTTTTTTTCTCTCTGTCCACGTAACTGTTCTTGATATCCATGCCCAACCGTAATGTATTAAACAATTAGGAATAGAGGGAGTAATATATTCTTATCTTATATATATAAATAAATGTTATTAAATCAGTTGTTTCTAAAGGGAGGGCTTAAACATGTCTTTGTGGACATATGATCATCATGAGAATTTGAATCGCTTGGTATGCTGTCGTTGAATTTTGTTTTATGTACTGTTAGTAAGCCAATTAGATAATTATTCATGACTCAGAAGGCAAACCATGACTGTTTCCATTTGTATTTGATGAAATTCAGCAGTTTAAATAGCATATACTTGTATATAAAATGAGTAAAAACATCAAGGGTAGCAATTTTGTATAACCGAATGTCCCTTCAGGCCTGAGTCCAGGTGAAGTGATTGATACAATTGAATATGCACAAAACTCAATCTTATTAGTCGATTAATAAGCTGCTTATTAGGGGCTGACAAAATTTGTCTAATTAATCTTTGCTTTCATGAATTCAGGGCCTGTTCCGATTGACTGAACTCAGCTGAACTGAACTGAACTTATTAATTAGTGATTTTTAACTACGGATTAGTGATCTTTGATTATTTATTAATTATTTATTACTATACATATGTGTATATACAAATGTACATATTAAAATATTTACGAAAAATATACTATATAATTATAATTATAAAATGTATGGAAAATATATTATAAAATGTATGGAAAATATATTAAAAACTTGAAACCTCTAAACATTTTAAACACATATACTATTTATTATTATTATTATTATTTATTGATGATTATTATTATTAGTATTATTATTTCAATTATTATTGTTATTATTATTATTATTATTGTTGTTGTTGTTGTTGTTGTTAATAATAATAATAATAATAATAATAATAATATTATTATTATTATTATTATTATTATTATTATTATTATTATTGTTTTTGTTGATGTTGTCGTTGTAATAAGAGGTTAAAAGAATGAAATTTGGCTTTATATCATTAGCAATATCATTAGACATAAAAAAAAGAGCTGAGCTGAACTGAACTGAACTGAACTGAATTTCAACGGAACAAAACAGGCCCTTAGTCTTGATAATTGTTCTTTGCACATCCAGATTGAAGCAACCACCATGCCGGAGGAGTACCGCGCCAAGAAGGTATTGCTACCCCCATCTTTTTTGATGTATTTCCATGCATTGATTGATTCTGCGACTGAAATAAAGAATGATGAATGAGTGATAATATGTTTTTTCATCAAGAATGCTTGTTTCAAAAAGAATTCCTGTTACACTTTGCAAATCTCTCAGCTATCTTACTTTTCTTTAATCCACAATTTCTAATTAATTTAATGGTGATTGTTTTTCAACATTTAGTTTGGAGCTCTGTACTGATCCACCTGTTTTCATGCTATTATCACCTGGCATGAGTGTGTCATGGCCATAATTTCTCACCTTCACTTTTGCGAAAGTAAATTAATAGATGATGTAATTTTGAGAACTAACTCGAGTCTAAAAGAAGGGGATTCTTGTATAAAAACTTCAATATCTTATAGATGGTGATCAAGAAACTTGTTTCTGCAGGTTTGGATTCTATGCAACGACTGCAATGATACAACAGAGGTTTATTTCCACATACTAGGCCAGAAATGTAGCCACTGCAAGTCTTATAACACCTGTCAAATTGCGCGTCCAGTCCTTCCTTAGAATTGTTCAACATACGAATCATCTTGCCTTGGCTGCTTTTAGTATGGATGATACTCATTTTCCCTTTCTTTCTTCTGTGCTTCAATCATAGTGCAAGCTAAGTTAATCACTAATTTGCACCATTCATCATGATTTGGACTAATATCATTATATGTTACGGCAGAAGCAAAACTCAACTTTTTTTTTCAACCTGTAAATGAATTCAAAGGTAGACAGACATATAATGATGTAAAGATTTGTTAATGCTTATTGTTCACAACTTACTTCCCCTTCTAACACAAGACCGTTACCTTTAATTGAAGAAAAATTCTTAACTTTGAGGCAAAGTATAATTTTGGGAGGCAAAATTATCCATTTTCGAACTTATTTGCTCCTATATGAGTTATCTTTTACTGAAAATTGAACTTTGTTTCATGTTAATCATTATATGTGCTTCAATCATTGTGCAAGCTAAGTTAACCATTATATATTTATATGTTATCTTCATGTTTTAAGCATGGTTTAATATAGAATAATTTGAGTTTGCCTTTAAGATTGACTTGATAAAGCGTATTCTAACCTTAAGCACTATAGTTGACGAACCCAAAAAAAAAAAAAAAAAAAAAAAAAAAAAAAAAAATGCCATTAAGACAATATAAAATATTGGGGTGATTGCTAGTCAACTTTATAATAGTATTTTGCTTGGACAATTGTTAAAAACTCCCCTAATCTTTGTCATTCAATATTGTTGTCAGAAACTACCTAATAAAACCTAGATTTCATGAGAAACTACATAATAAATAAAATAAAATAAAAAATTAAAAGAAACTACCTAATAAATAGGGTTGTTCATCGGTCCAAGGCCGGATTGGACCAGACAACCAGGATCGGGCCAGTTTGGATCGATTTAAGAATTTTTATGAAAAAATCTAAATTTTATATACTTCCTCCGTTTTCTTTTACTTGCAACACACCTTTTAGGCACACAGTTTTAGGAGATGATTAGTGAGGGTAAACGAGCGATTTTATCAATATATTATTTACACGAAGATTAGAATAGGGTTAAGTATCGTTTGTAAAAATTATAATGAATAATTTATCCGTTTATATTACATAAATTCGACCTCAAAACACGTGCCACAAGGCTGTGTTGCAAGTAAAAAGAAACGGAGGAAGTATAATTTATAGAATACTTGAGGGAAAAAAAAAACTTCCTCCGTGTTTTAAAAAGTGTTATACTTACCAAATCCGGCCGTGTTTTAATAAGTGTTACACTTCTTTTTTTACAAAAAATTACATTTAAATATTATATTTCTCTTCTTTCATGTTCTCCACCTGAAACCCACTAATATTTTTTTATTATTATTATTATTATATCTTTTCTCTCACATTCATTATTTTTCAATAAATTATTAACCTCATTACCTTTATTTTATAATTTTTTAATACTCCAACTATCCCACTTACCTCTTATTTTATTTAAGTCAATTAAATTGCCTAAAACTACTCATGCCGGACAAACTGTCACACTTACAAAAAACAAGGAGGGAGTAAAGGAAAACAATATTTTAATGTCTTGTTTGTATGTTTAGTATAAGAAACTAATACGTTTAAAGTTTTCAAAGCTTGTTAAGGATAATCTTAATCATTATTAAAGGTTTTATGTACAATTTCAAGCAAAAACCTAGTGTGGTCCAAGACCAATTTTTATAGGGTTTTGGACTAGATTGGACCGAAGATCGGAAAAATGAATTTCCGGTTCAAACCGATTTTTGAACACCCTTATTAATTAGTGGTCAACTATTGTATTTACTGAGTGACCCAACTTAAAACACCCCTGAAACCACCGCTTTTTCCCCCAAAACCAACAAAACTATTGCTTAAAATTACCTCCAGTCCTCCCATGTCGAAACCACCCTCTAACCCCAAAAACCACCACTTCTTACCCTTTAAACCTCCATCCCATAGCCCAAAACTACCTCCACAAACTCGAAATATCCTACCACCGCTCCTCCCAAAAGTAGTTTAACCACCTTGAAAGCTAACCATTGCGATGGTTTCAAAGGTGTTTTGAGGTGAGTCGTCAACGCCAAAAAATAAAGTTTAATAGTAGAAAGCCGGCAAGAGTTAGTATTTTACAACATTTTGCTTTTTATTAGATAGTTTTTTACAACATTTTTTTTATTAGGTTACAAAATCTGGGTTTTATTAACTAGTTTCTAAGGAACCCCCCCCCCCCAGTAATAATTTAGTATTGGTGAAGCTAGATGAAAGGCAGTTACATTGCATCCAAAGTCTGATCCAATCTAATCTAAATTAGTAATTCAAATACTTTTTTTAAATCGAATTGGTTGGATTGATTAATTTATTAAAATGCATACAAACTTAGTCAGATTGCATCCAAAGTTTTATCAATTTAATCCAAATGGCCAATTAGCTATATTGGTATAAAAGTTAGCATCCTTGTGATCGATATATCGGTATAAAAATTATCGCCAGTGACAAATTGGTATAAAAGTTAACATGTGATGAAATATTGGTATAAAAGTTGGCTAGTGACGACGTTTACCCTTTTCTTGTAAGAATAATAAGTGTACACTATATATACGTACACATATTCTTATTCTTGTAGCTTACATCTATTGTTTTTCTTTACTTTTTTTTCCTTCAAAATTTTTTGTACATTTCTTGGACACTATTAAAAGCCAAAAAAGGAGCATCTATGAAGAGGTAAAATGACACTTTTACCCCTGATCCTCACATTCAGGAATTTCCAAACCATCACCACCCACCCTCAAATTAAATTAAATTGTGTTTTAGAAGTCCAAACTAGTTTTAGGCCCGGACGATGTCCCAAGTCATTGCTTATATTTTTATTATAGTTGTTTTTATTTAAATGTATTTAGTTTATTTAAGTTTTAACAAAGTCGAAATTTTTTTTTAAAACAAGGGAGAAAATTTTAGAATATAGAGAAATATTCGAGATTATGCATAACAATTAATTAAGAAAAAATTACAAGATCATCAAGTTTTGATTACATATTTTTTAGATTACATTGTTTTTTTTATTTTTTTTTATTTTTTTTTTTGCAATATTCAATTTTCTTTAAATAAATTTACTCCCAACTTCTTAAATAACAACTTATCACATGCTAATTTTAACTTTTGAGACATTAAGGGTGTAATCTATTCACTTAATTTTTACTTATCTGAATTTATATGAACTTATTAGACCTTATTAAAACTTATTTAGTTGCAGTTTGAACTTGGGCAACCCTTATTTGAACTTATTTTTCATCATGTACTGAACTTATCTGAACTTATTTAAACTTAACTAAACTTATCTAAACTTATCTGACCTGAAATAAGTGAAAATAAGGTGAATAAAACATACCATAAATAATAATAATAATAATAGTAGTAGTAGTAGTAGTAGTAGTAGTAGTAGTAATAATAACAATAATAATAATAATAATATTTCTTTCCATTCAATTTTTTGAGATTTGTGTTGTGAACTCACAATTTGTCTTGTTATTATTTGTTGACAATCTTGGGTGCATGAGCATAGAGGAGAGAACTATTTTCCATTAAATGAGAATAAAAACACCAAATAAAAAAACTACTCCTACAAGAAAAAAAAGTGTCAAATGTCATAACTTGTTAGTTTTTAGGAAAAATTGCTCCCATTAATCTGAACATTGCCTCATCCGCCGAAATTAATCCCAACTTCAGTTTATAATCTATCACTCCCAACTTTGACGGTATTAATTTTCGTTGCACCCAAATGACTTGCAACTGGTAAAGCAGGTAAACCTTTGTACGTGATTTTTTTTTTTTTGCACACGTGTCAATATGTAATTAGTTGAGAAAATTAAAGAAAATTAAAAAAATAAAAATAAAGTAAAGAAAATTAAAAAAAATTAAAGAAAAATGTTTTAAAAAAAATTAGAACCCAGCAGAACACCACCACCACACGAACACCACCGCCGCACATCAAACCACCACCACCGTTGGCAAAAAATGGCCAATATCGGCCACAAATGGCCGAAAATGGCCGATGTTGGGGCTGAATACCCTAAACCGGCCGATTTCGGCCGTTTGTGGCCGATTTCGTGCATAGGCGTCGTTGATTTCGTGGCTGGGTTCGCCGATTTCGAGGGTGGGGAGGGGTTATCGGTGGCTGGGGATGGGTTATCGGGGGCTGGGGATGGGTTTTTGGGGCTGGGGAGGGATAATCGGGGGCTGGGGAGGGGTTATCGGGGTAGGGGAAGGGTGTTATCGGGGCTGGGTGGGGGTTATCGGGGGTGGGGGAAGGGAAGGGGTGGCTGGGCGGCGGTTTCCGGTAGCGGGGAAGGGGTTTTCAGGGAAGGGCTGTTTTTCCGGCGGGGTAGGGGGTGGGGGTGTGGTGTTTTCCGGGATAGGGTGGGGGCTGGGTATTTTTCCTTTTTTGTTTTGATTTTTATTTTTTTTATTATTTTTTTTGGACATATCACGTGTTGACACGTGTCTAGGTAACCTGCTACATCAGGTTAGATGACCTGTTGGGTGCAACGAAAATTAATACCCCTCAAAGTTGGGAGTGATAGATAATAAACTGAAGTTGAGATTATTTTCGGCGGATGAGGCAAAGTTCAGATTAATGGGAGCAATTTTTCCTAATTTTTATACCAATTTGTCACAAATTGTTAACTTTTATGCCAATTTGTCACAAATTGTTAACTTTTATGCCAATTTGTCACCAATACTAACTTTTATACCAATAGTCACGAAGGTGCTAAGTTTACCAATGAGGTCAATTGGTCTAATCTAAATAAGTAATTTCAAATCAAATTAATTTTTTAATCGCATTGGATTGATGACTCATTTTTGGGAAATTCTACATGGTGGCATCAAGGTTTCCATTTTTCTACATGGAAGACGAAGTTTTTTCCAACTCTCTTAAGTGGCCCCAAGGTTTTGAATAATTATGCATAGTGCCCATTTTTTGATTTTTTGGCTAACTTTTTTAGCTTTTGGTTAGCCATAAGTAAAAAAAAAAATTATAAGGAAAAAAAAAACCACCAGCCAGCCACCCACGGTAGCCGGCAAGTGCCGTACCCACTGCCCCCAACGCTGGCGCGCCTAACCCCTTTCCCGATGGCGCCGGCGCGCCGTGAACCCCATCCCTCGGCGTCTGCGCCACCTCAACCTCCCTCCCTTCCCCTTCCCTAACCAATCCCGTAACCCCAACCCCCACCAATCAAAAACCCCTAAAAGAAGCTTAAAAAGTCTGGCTGCCCCTCCTCACACACACGAAACCCAAGCGTTGACCTTTTCGAGGTGTGGGGGAGGGGCGGCCGGACTTTTTCGGCCAATTTTTGGGGTTTTTTAAGGGTAGAGGTTGGGACTTTGGGTTAAGGGTTTGGCCTGTTTAGGGTCGGGTTACGGTGGTTGGGGAAGGGAGGGTGGTCGAGGTGCACCAAGGGAAGGGATCTGGGAGCGCCGGCACAGGCGACAGTGGGGTTTGGCTAGTGGCTAGGTGGGTGGGGGTTGGGGTTGTGAATGGTGGATGTGTTGGTGGGAGGGTGGTTGTGGGTTTGGGATTTTTTTTTTAAAATTTCCTTTTTTATTATTATTTTAAAATATAATTTAATT